TGTCAGAGTTTGGCATTATGCCATCCTGACAGGTTTCCAATTAAAAGCACTGTGGATCAATCTGCTTTAATGAACTGGGTTAATTGGCTCACAATGCAATGCAAGGCTGGAGGGAAGGTGTAACTTGAGTAAGTCAGAGTATGTCACAGCAGTATTCTATAAAGAGCTTTCACCATACAACACAACATTGTAGCATGGATGAAATACAGGAAGCAGGCAAAGCAAATAGATCTTGAAAAACCAATTCTGGCTGATCACATTTGTATTTAGTCTCCAGTGGAGGATATGCAAAACCCAAATTATACCAGCATTTTCATTAAGTAATTTTTACATATAGTGTTGAGGGTATTGTGCAAACAGGCATTGATTGTAAAGGTGACAACCATGGTCAACAGTGCAAGTTTAATCAATTACTAGTTTTACAGAAGAAATAATATATAGCAGTTAGGAAGGGGTGGTTTATTGACGCAAGCCTGAAAATCAGACCATTAATGGTCTGTCTCCACTGGAGGAAAGATTTCCCAGATAAATGTTATAGGTAACGATTAAAACCAGTCAGATACGGAGATTGGATGCACATTTCCAGCATTACAATGACTGACAATTTGTTTGTTACTTAGAATAAATGCAGAATATTCATTGTGACCAATCAGTACGTGGAACAACAGCGGATGGGAAGGGGGCAGTAAGTAGTTATGTTTTGAGTTAGGAATTCTGTTCTGTTAAAAGCTCACCACACTAACCCATAATTATCTTTTCCTTTTCAAATGTGGATAGTGATTTAATTGCTGCTTTTTCTGATTTTGAAAAATTTTTAGGCTTCCTGGCATGACGCTTTTTCATTTTGATCTCTTGACAATAATTTGGAAACTTCAACAACAAAACTATCAGCTCTGGAGTATGGGTTTGGAATAATAAGCAACCCACCTGCTGTTAGCTATTACTGGACATTGAACAAATGAACCAAGATTTTCCAAGTTTCCCCCATTATTGTCAAATATTCAATGCTCTGTACTGGACCTGCTACAACTATTAACTAAAAGTAATATCCAAAATAAACTGTGCCTCCCAGCTTCCCCCCAGCCCCCAACCCAAAAATCAACCTCATTGATCAACATAACAAAGCCTGCACATCATCATCACTATCCTACCTGCTGTGAAACTGGGTTAGTTCAAAGAGAGTGCATAACTTCAGAGGGCCCAGATTCAAGGTACTGCCAAATAGCCCACATCCATGTGAAGTTAGAGAAACAAAATATATAATTAACAAAGACGTAAAATTAATTTTGAGAACACTGGAAAATATCACCAGATATACTGAGATTTTATCAAATTGTTAATTTCACATCTTTTTCATCCATTAAACTTGTCAACAAACACATTCATCAGGTATAGGTGCTTAAAACTCTTTGTACTTTTCCTCAAACTCAGCTTCTACAAAATACCCAGAATCACAGTGGGTACGAGTTGCATTTCACAAACCTACCATTCTGGAGCCTTCTGAGGAATGCCAGGTTTAAGACACAGGAGCATATGTAGGCCAATCTGCCTGGCAAATCTCCTCTGCTATTCAATGAGATCATGGCTGATCTAATAATCCTCAAATCCTCTTCTCCTGCTTTTCCCCTAGAACCCTCAATTCTCTTATTGATTAAAAATCTCTCTCAACCTTAAAACATACTTATGACCAGCCTCAACAGCCCTATCCATTAGATTTATTATCCTCAGATAAAAGTTCTCCTTATCTTGGTCTTAGATGTGCAATGCATTATTTTGAAATTGTACTCTCTGGTCCTGAACACACACACGGGGAAACAACTTCTCTGCATCTACTCTAAAAATCTTGTGTTTTAATAAGATTCTCTCTTATTCTTCTAAATTCTAATGAGTACTGTTGTAACCTACTCAATCTCTTCGCATAAAGCAGTCTCTAGATCTGGGTTCAGCCCAGTGAATCTTTCCTGGACTGCCTCCATTGCCAGTATATCTTTCCTTAGATAAGGGAATAAAATTCATAACATTCCAACTGTGGTCTAACTAGTGCCTTGTATAGTTTTAGCTGAACCTTCCCATTTTCATATTCCATTCCCTTTGAAATAAACATTCCATTCACCCTCCTTATTATCTTCTAAACTTGTACACTAGCTTGTTACAATCCATGCACAAGGGCTCCCAAATCCCCGAGTGCTGTAGCTTACTGCAGTCTTCCTCCATTTAAATATTCAAATCTCCTATTCATTCTGCCAAAGTATACAACCTCACATTTTCCTATATTATATTTCATCTGCCAAGTTTCTGACCACTTGCTAAACCTGTCCATAGCCCTCTGCTGATTCTGTATCATCCTCACCACTTGCCGGACTGACACGCTTCAGGAACTGTGTTTGTGACAATCCAAAATCATCTTGGGACTCATGCTGTAGCTTTACTTCAAACATAAAAATCCGGGGAGTGTATGAGACATTGACACAAAAAAAAAGTGAGAATTGACTCCCTATAACTCTCACAGGAGATTTTTTTTTTTTTTTTAAAAAAAGTTGCCTGTTGCTCTTCATTGAATAACGAGAGATCATTCCTGAATCTGAATTTTCATCTTAACCATCTAAATGCTTTTTTGAAAATCTGACCCCTTCAGAAGAACTTCCAAACTTATCACTATTATGTGCGAGGAAAGTGATTGCAAGGGAATATCTGGGTTCTGAAGAGGCGGCATATTGGACTTGAAACATTAATTCTGTTTCTTTCTCCAAAGATAATAATTAGACCTGCTGAGTTTCTCCAGCAATCTGTTTGTTTCAGACTTCCAGTATTTTGCCATATTTTGCTTTCATTTAAGGGAACATCATTACCTCTAAATGCTGAAGTGAAAAGTAGGGAAGTTATTCTGAAACTGCATTGAACATCATTAAAGGTCACGCTTAAGAGTACTGCATGGAAGTTCTAGTGTGCCATTTGTAAGAAGGATATAGCAGGTCTTTGAGAGGGTGCTGGGATTTATAAGGATGATGTTAGAAATACATGGTATACATATCAGGAAAGGATGGATAGGCTTGTTATTTTCTCACAAAGTGATGGAGGGGTGACCCAGACATCTTTAAAATAATGAAAAATTTCAATGGAGACCTTAGAGGGAAATGTTTCCTCTTCGGGAGATAGTAAAAACTAGAAGCAATCAATACAAGATAGCCACCAAAATATCCCATAAGGATACCAAAAGAAATTTCAACACTCCGGAGTGTAGTGGTCAAAGCCAACAGATGGATTTAAGGATAAGCTGGACAAGCAGTAGGGAACAGGGAGAGTTTGGGCAAAGTTAGGTAGGAAAGTGCACAGGTGGAGCATAAATGCTAGCACAGGCTGGTTTGGTTCTCTCTCAATCACACTGTCCCTTTTGGAAAATGGTGATCCTTCTTTATCACACAGTCATACAGCATGGAAACATACTCTTCAGTCCATCCAGTCCAGGGTGACCATGTTCCCAAACTAAACTAGTCCCACCTGCCTGTGCTTGGCCGATTTCCCTTCAAACCTTTCCTTATCGTGAATTTATCCAAAATGTCTTTTAAATGTGGTAACTGTACCTGCATCCACCACTTCATTGGATTAAAATCCTGGAACTCCATACCTAACAGCACTGTTGCAGAACCTATCACACTGGCACTTCTGATGCAGTGGTAATGTCCCTATCTCTGAGCTAGGAGGCCTGTGTTCAAGCCCCACCTGCTCTAGAGGTGTGTTGCAATCGCTCCCAACAGGTCAACGAGAAAAATATTGAGGAAGAGATTTCCCTGGAGCTGAGGTGACTGATCTCCAACAACCACAACCATCTTCCTTTGTGCTAGGCATCACTCCAACCCAGTAGTCACCAAAGTTTTGCCTCAGATTTCCATTGACTCCTTGATGTCACACTCAGTCGAATGCAGCCTTGATGTCAAGGGCAGTCACTCTCGCCTCACTTCTGGAATTTAGCTCCTCTGTCCACGTTTGAACCAAAGTTGTAATGAGCTCAGGAGCCGAGTGGCCCTGGTGGAACCCGAACTGGGTGTCACTGAGCAGGTGCTGCTTGATAGCACTGTTGGTGACACCTTCCACCACTTTAGTGACGGTTGAGAGTAGACTTATGGGGCAGTAATTGGTTATGTTGGATTTGTTCTGATCTTTTTGTGCAGGACATATCTGAGTAATAGATGCCAGAGTTGTAGCTGCACTGGTACAGCTTGGCTAGGTAAGCAGCAAGTTCTGGAGCACAAGTCTTCAGTACTACCATTGAAAAACTGTCAGGACTCTGAGCCTTAGAAGTATCAAGTACCTTCAACCGTTTCTCGATTACATACGGAGTGAATCAAATTGGCTGAACACTGAAAACTTCTGGAGGAGGCTGAGGTGGGTGTCAACCTCTGGCTGAAGTTTGTTGAAATACCTCAGCCCTGTCTTTTGCACTGATGTGCCAGGCTCCCCCATCATTGAGGATGGGGATATTTGTGGAGCCTCCTCCTCCAGTGAGTTATTTATTTATCCACCATCATTGACATGTGGATGTGGTGGGACTGAAGAGCTCAGATTTGATCCACTAATGTGGAATTGCTCAGCCATGACTATCCCTTGCTGCTCATACTGCTTCGCACGCAAGTAGTCCTACTTCACAGCTTCACCAAGTTAACACCTCATTATTAGGTATCTCGAGGGCTGCGCCCGGCAAGGCCTCCTGCATTCTTCATTGAACCAAGCTTGATCCCTTGGCTCGATGTTAATGGTAGAGTGGAAGATATGCTGGACCATGATGCTGCAGGTTTTGGTTGGGGATGTTCTTCCCATATTAGTGTATACCCTGGAATGAATTAAAGTGTTCAATATTTAAAATAACTAATGAAATCTAGTTTTTAAACAGACAATTGACAATTACGCTGCAATATGTGGGAACGAAAGACACTTTTACATCCAATAAACAATTCTTCCATTAATGGTACAGCACATTATGAAAAGGACAAGAATCCTAGAAATTGAGAAAAATTCCTCTGGTAAGAGAGGCAGGTTTGCATTTTAATAGCACATTTCACAACCTGATGATGCCCCATTTTACAGCTAAGGAAGTCCTTTAAAAATGTAGATGGATGTAAAAATACAGGAGCCCACTTATTTCCCAAAAGGTCCTGCAGACAGTAACATAATAAATTGCACAATGCAAGGTTGGTTGAGAATTAAATATTTCTCCCCTGCTGTTGGAGATAGTGCAGTTTATTATTGTTGTCCATGGAAAAGGCCTCAGTGTAAGAGAGTTGCCAAAGCCTCAAGCTGCTTGCACATCAGCTCAAGTTGTCAAAAAAAAGTGGATGCTGGAAATTAGGAATTGCTGGAAAAACTCGGCCAGTCTGGCAGCATCTGTGGACAGAAATCAAAGTTAAAATTTCCAGTCCAGTGATCCTTCCTCAGAACTAGGTCTGAACTGACCTTTCTGAATTCATGGTGATTTTACTTCCTCCAAATTCAGCACAATAAAATTTTCTTGAGGCACTCTGGTACAACCGCAGGTCTCAGTATAATAATTAGTTGATGTGCATAGTTCAGTGGATAGAGGAAGACGACAAGAAAATCACACTGTCACAAAATGGATCATTGCTTAAAAATAGCAATAACATATCTCTGCAGAATGAGCTGATGAACTTTTCATTAGTTTTAACATTAGTTTAAAAGACTTGCAACTGTATTTCATAAATTGGAAAGGCCTGGAACACAAATATAATTTACAATATAAAATATACACAAGTTCTGTGACAAAACATCACAAGGTTATCTGCTCTGTTTTGTGTATATCTACAGCGTATTAGATTGAAAGTACCACATTGAGTTAAATATTACTTTATTCCAGCCTTAATGTTTCAACTCTGGATCCGGACCATCCAAAAGGAATGAGTTTTGCAATCAACTACAAAGTCTCAAAGCTTTTTCTTAAAAAATTCTTCTAAAAATCTTGTCTGTTAATAGTCGGTTGAATTAAAAAAAAAAAAAAAAAAAAAATCTTATTTACAACACACGTCTCACAAGATTGGTCTTGGATCAAGATGGCTTGCAGCCCACTGGACCTTTTTCCTTTAAGAATATCAATCTTACCATAAACCTAAGTGCAATAGCTTGGCTTCAATCTGAGCTGTGATCATTCCAATGCAAAGAAATATATACTGGCATCTGTCACAAACCTGCCCTGTTAACCATGAACTTGTGCCCTCATGTCCTACTATCTTTAGTACTCTTCCCAAATAAAGCAGCTCTACAAAGGCCCCTGCTCTGACACATCAAAAGATTAACTTTTGACAAATGTAGCACCACTAGCTGAATTTAACAAAATAACAGACTACAGCTCAAGCAGCAGGAACAGTCAATCTGGGGCACAGTTCACAAATAACGAGCACATTTAACGACTGGTGACACTAAGTTCAACACTAGCAATGAATATGGTTGTTGCACACGGTCTTATAATTCCACGTGTGCACTCATTTCGCAAATAAGCCATCAAAATTAGTGGCATTAAAACAACATCTAACAAGAACATTCTGGAATGTACGGAAACAAGAACTTGCGGTGATGGATAACATCACATAGTAAGGTGACAGCAATAGCTAGTGTGGTGCCCATGCAGGAAATGTTGCTGGGTAGGCAATGAGTTAGAAACAAATAAAGGACACCTACTGATGAAGCAGTTACATCCATTAGCTGGATCATTTATCTATGCTTTGTACACTGGGCAGCATCTTCCTCACCATACTATAAAAGCTACAGTAATCTCCACCCTGCCCATTCAAATCAAGACAGTGCACTGGGATTAAATTCAATTTACATTCTGCAATCTTCCTATATTGTGTAGCAGTAGATCTTTCCATATAATTTGACGCTGTTATCCATACTGGACTAAAATCAGTCAGTGAGCTGGGTCTAATGCAGAGTAGTGCATGGGGCACTGTTACTGCTCTTTTAACCCTTTACAGGTAATGAGATTAGGCGCTGACAAGAAAGTTCGCAATGAGACTATTGGCCTCCGAGTCAAAGCACTCTGCCATTTCTGATTAAATATCACGTCGACTTCTGCCGATAGTGAAGTGTCAGGTCTCCTCCACTCTTCCAGATGAAATGTTTGACTGTCCGCAGGTCCATGTTTGGATCCAGCACCTGGTGGTTTAAATTTATATAGTATGAGAATTAAACTATTTGAGGACGTTAATGCGATAAGAATTACCAAACAAATCAAAACTATAGAACCGGGTAGGATGGTCAATGTGGAAACAACGAGCATCTTCAGCATGTTCACAACTTCTTATGAACAAATAACAGTATGGCTTTTATGCAGCACTTTTGTCTAACAACATCTTGATGGACTTTACATGAAATATTAATTTTGACAGATAAAGACTTATGAGGCAGCACAGTGAACATTCGGTGCCAACTCCTCATTAACAGGTTAATTAATTATTCTCTTTCAGTGATTACAAAAGTGGCCAATATTCTGCCAAGATTTGGTCCCAAGTCTTTCATTTCCATTTGACCCACAAAAGCAGGCAAATGGGATTCCTGAATCCCAGGACAGCACCTTTGACAATACAGCACTCACTCAGAGAGCTGCTGGCTTGGGGGTTGTTCTTGGCCACAGCCCTGGAACTCTGCTGATCATCTTAGAACAGTGCCATAGTATCTTTTACATCCACCTGGGGACCTCGATTTAACCTCGTTAATGAGCACTAGACACCACCCCAAAATAAACAGTGTAGCGCTCTGTCAACATTGCCTTGTAGTATCAGACAACGTTATATGTTCAATTATCTGAAGTGGGTCTTCATGAAGCAGAAATGCTACCACAGATTAGTACGTCCACAACTACTAGATGCTCCAAGGTTAATGGAGAACAAATTAGGGAGCACGCTAACCTGATCTTGACAAAGTAACTCAATCTTCTCCTCTGCCAGCACAGCAATGTCTTCTTCTTTGTCCTGCTCTCCAGGTTTCTCATTGTTTGAGGAGCTGGTCGTTTGTGATTCATTGTCTAGGTTGATGATCTTCTCGTAAACATGTTCCATCACTTTTCGAACCTGTAGCATGTCACTAGCTGACAAACGATCTCTGGAAAATTGTTCAGAGGTGCAAGTTGTTAGCATGATTGCAATGATCTCTGAATATTGATTAACATTCATAAATCAAATGATGGGACAAAAAAAGGGCACATGCATGTCAGAAGTCAAAGTACAAGACCAATTTAACAGCAAACCAGTCAGCATCTTAAAAAATTATACATTAATGTAGTATGTTAGAACATCTGGGAATCCTAAAGAGCTTCACAAAACCAATTAAGTACTTCTGAAATGCAGTCACATAGGAAACATGGCAGTCAATTTGCACTCAATAAGCTTCCACACACTGCAATATGACAACATAGGAAATCTATTTTCGGGATGTTGATTGAGGGATTAAAATCGGCCAGGGCACCAGGGGAAAAACCAGTGCTCTTTTCCAAAATAATTCCACAGAATAGTTTACATGTGCCTGAGAAAGTAGACAGGATGTCACTTTAACTTCTTATCTGAAAGATGGCCCCTCCGACAGTGCGGCGCTGACTCAGGGCTGTACCAGACAGGACTGCTGGCTTGGAATTTAGTGCTCAACTCTCGAGTGGAGTGGCACTTGAACCAACAACTTTGTTACATAAAGGCAATCATGCTACCAAGAAGAAAAACATTTAATAACTTAGGCCCCAGCCCCAACAAACTTCCATTCAAAATTTTAAATCACCTTTTCATTTTCAATTTATTTTAAAGTGTCACATTTGCGTTGAGTGCTATGGTTTGCTTAACAATTATACAAGTTTTGGATATCAAATGATAAAACAATTTTTTATAGCAATGCAAAATAAGCACACTTTCCAGAGTGATTCTTGTTTATAGTGCACAGCAAATACATAAAGATGCAGAGAATAGGAGTGAGAGACAACAAGGTGCAGAGTTGGATGAACACAGCAGGCCAAGCAGCATCATAGGAGCAGATATGATGCTGCATGGCCTGCTGTGTTCATCCAGCTCTGCACCTTGTTGTCTCGGATTCTCCAGCATCTGCGGTTCCTACTATCTCTGAGAGAATAGGAGTGGGCCATTTAGCCCTTCGAACCTGGTCCGTCATTCAATATGATCATGGTTGATCATCCAACTCAGTATCCTGTTCCCTCTTTCTTCCCATACCCTTTGATCGCTTTAGGCCTAAGAACTATATCTAACTCCTTCTTGAAAACATTCAATGTTTTAGCCTCGACAACTTTCTATGGCAGAGAATTCCACAGGCTCACCACTCTCTGGATGAAGAAATTTCTCATCTCAGCCCTAAAGAGCCTACCCCATATCCTTAGAATGTGACCCTGATCATCTGGAACATCCTTCCTGTGTTTACCCTGTCTAGTCCTGTTAGAATTTTATTGGTTTTATGAGTTCCCTCTTCATTATTCAAAATTCCAGTCAATGTAGTCCAAACTGAATAGTCTCTCTTTGTATGTCACAGTCCTGCATCCCAGAAATCAGTCTGGTAAACCTTTGTTGCTTCCACAGCCAGAACATCCTTCCTTAGGCAGGAGACCAAAATTGCAAACAATATTCTAGGTGTAGTCACATGAAGGCCCTGCATAATTACAGTAAGTTGAGATGCCATGATACTGTATGTGCATGCAGAATCAAGTTGGGCAATTTTTTTTTTAAAAACATCAAATCAGAATTTTCAAAGCTTTCACGTTAAAATGATTGGTTTGCAAATCTTAAGCCACAGCATTCAGTCAGGAATTCAAATTAAAAAAGGGGACATAGCTGCGATTGTTTATGTGAACTGCTGCTGCTCCTTCTAGGTGGAACTTGGCAAAGCACAGTCTGTATTTTCTGAGCTCAACACAAAGAACCCAATTATTGAGAACACTTTGTCCTTGGGATTAGTATTAGATCTACAGGAGAAATATCACAGCATAGAAGTACATTGAGCTGCATTGGGTCAGAATTAGCAGTTTGAATTTACCTGGAACATTTGCAGATATATCAAAAATGTCATTGGCAATCACTTACTAACGAGCATTATCATCCACCTAGGAAAGTCTGTACAATTAAAATACACTGTGGCTGTTACAAGCCTTTGATGTGGATTTAACTTGTATGTGGTTCACTCTTTATCCTCCTCAGCTGTGCTCTAGGTGAGATATTTGTTTGTAAAACAGCCAGCAGCTTGGAGAAAGCACAACACTGACTTCTCAGGGCAACCAAGTTTGGGCAATAAATAGGATCTTGTCAGCAATGACCAAATCCTATGGAAAAACATAGCAGAAATGGAACATACACTGGAGCGAGTCCGGAAAAACAAAACACTCCAAATTGGACTGTGGGAATGTGAAAGGCACTAACCCAGCTAGTGTTGGACCAACTCACAAGAATGGATTTGCTTGGAAAGAAAAGGTATTAGAAAGGGGAGCAGGTTAAATTAAGTGAAAAGACACAAGGGTTAACAAAACAGAGAAATATGTACAGCAATCTGAATGGCCTGCTTCAAGTTCTTAAATTCCTTTGGCAGACCTACAAAGGCTTCTTGTAAATCAAAGCACACTGCAACAGCAATATGCAGAAGCAGTCAAAAACTAAACTAGCACAACTGGATATTAATTAATGGCAGCAACCAAATCACAGACAGAAGATCATTATAGCTCATTTTGCCTTTGCTCCTTCTGGGGCAGCAGTTTGCCTCTACTAGACAGAATAGCAGACAATAGGGACTTTTGTCTTCTGACATTGCACTATGCTTTTGGGCAGTAATTCAGCCACATTTTGAAGTTTATGGGTGAATTGCCAGAGATTAGGATAACAGGATTAATAAACTCACTCTTGCCTCTTGTTTTACCAGCAACCTTCTTTGCGAAAAGTATTATTTATGAAAAAAATTCTCAATCATCTGTTTTAAGAAATATTAGCAGCACACTGATTTTTGTTTTCCAAGATAGAATAGGGAAGAATGTTAGTGCCTCTCATAATGGGGGCTCAAAGGGATTGGCGATGGGGAATAGTACCATGAGAGAATGATTATCCACATACCAAGTGCAGTATACCTCAAGGTTTACTCCTCTCTCCAGATGGCCCTTTTCTAAGATTCTTCAAGGCTTCGTGACACTGCTTGCCAGGTTTGTTCTCAAAAAGAACAGAGTCAGAGTTTTACAGCACATAAAGAGGCTTTTCAGCCCATCATGTCATGCTGGTTTTTATCTCTTCTAATCCCATTTCCCAGCACATGTCTTGTAGCCTTATATGCTATGGCATTTCAAGTGCTCATGTAAACACTTCTTTGATGTTGAGGGATCCTGCCTCTACCTTTTAGGCAGTGAGTTCCAGATACTCACCAGCCTCTTGGTTAGAAACCCTTTCCTCAAATCCCCTATAAACATTCTGCCTCTTATTTTAAGTCTATGTCTCCTGATTATTGACCCCTCCGCTAAAAGGAAATATTTCTTCCCATCCACCCTATTCTCTAAATTCTGCAGACCTCAGCCAGGTCCAGATATGCCTGAACTCTATTCCGAAATCAGAGTAGCACCAGAACATAAAGCTCAGTGATATTAAACAAACACTTTGAAATGGAAAAACTTTCAGTTATATACTGACGGTTTAGCTTTTGTGAACAGTTTTCCCAACCACTTTATAATAGCCACATTAAATACTGAAAGAACAAATAAAATAGGATTAAGTTCAGCCAGTCTTTATACAAAAGATGTTCTATTACTAGAGGATCACTTTACAAAATTCACCGCCTTGATAACTTAAACACGATGTTCAGTTTAGAAATGCAATGATTTTAAAACTTCATTTGTATATTCCCATTGATCAAACTCAGAGCCAAAGAACAAAATGTCCAAAGGTGAACCAAAGAGGAGGCAGCTGTTCTTAGCATTAAAGCAGGGTCAAACCATCTGCTTGGGGAAGTGAATATCGTTCCAAAGACCTCTTTAATTCTGTCAACTTACTTTTTAAGTGTCTTTGCTCCGGAGGAAGAATGAGGCTGGAGGTAGAATGGAATTTTGTTGAATTTGGGCATGTTTTTCTGCAAAAGAAAGGGGAAAAAAAACATAAAAAAAGAGTGGCATAATAGGTCACAGCCATCACAATGACAAAGAAATATGGAATGAGAAACCTGAAAAGGGGAACATAAAGCCAAGAAAATTTTGTAAGAATTAGCAGTCAAGTTGTTGCGTTTAAAAAAAAAAGCGCTGCTTTATTGTTGAGATTCCCATTCAGATAAATCAACAGCAACCAGATTTTCCAGCACATTCACCTTGGCTGCTGTGCAAAGGATTCCACATCATCCAACCTTTAATGGAAAATGAAAGCGTGGCTCCAATTCAGGCAAATCTGCTTTTGTTTTTAGCAAATGGAAGGGGAAAAGCAATTTAGATTTGGTTGCATTAAGGCACAGTTCTAGGTATTTATACACACAGGATGCAACTGCTTGAGGAAAGACAGGTGAAGTACCAAGATGACACCAGTGGCAAGAAACTTGAAAAATCTGACCAAAATTCACTTTAATATTCCTGTTAAAAGGGACACTAAGGTAATCTTGTTGAAGTTTGAGAAGACGACAGCTGGTCTTTGGCAAATCATAGACTATGTCAACAACTAGTACAGCACTTTGATAAGCTGGAATTTAGGAATTTAGGAGTTAAGGTTAATGAGTACGGTCCTGCCCCCTACCTGCAATGTAGGTTTTTTTTTTTAAAAACTTGTGCTAGTACAATAGCTCTTACAATAGCTAGTACTACTAGATCCATGCTACCATCCACGTTCCACACAACTCTCCTTGTCTTTTACTCACTGCCCTCCTTTAAGATATTTCATAAAACCTATTCCTTTGACAAGGCTCTTGTTTCTTATGTGGCCTTGTGACATACTTTGTCTTATAACACCCTTGTGAAAAGCCTTGGGACATTTCTTTGTGTTAAAGGTGCTCTATAGATACAAGATATTACAGTAGAGAGAAGTAAAATTGTTTTGATCAAACAAATAACATGTTAAAAGCATTTCTGTGAAAGTGGGAGAATTGAATCAGGTAAGTTACTTACATCTACAGTGATGTCGATAACCCACTGAGGCACGGTTTCATTTAGAAGCATTGATTCAGTTTCACCTCCTGCATCACGGCACAAAAGCCTGCAAAAATGAACTAAATGAAGTTATTCTGTCTTTGCTCAATGATTAAGGGATAGGGATAACGAAAAGACGCAAGGGATGCAAAAAGATGCTTGTGATGAGGACAATTTTGAAAATAGAAAAATCACAAATTTCGTCAAGAAACAAAATCGTTGTTAACTAAATTGAATGTGTAGTTCAAACAAAGAATGGTTCAGTTCTCTACAGTTTCACTGCCAGAATTAATATTCAACTTTTTCTAGGTTTAATTAGTGGTTGTAACATAAATAGGCTTTGGTTTAGGCTGTGTAGTTAATATTCTCCTAAAGACATGCATTGAAATCTCTATGTAGTCTACACGGCTATTGGCCAAAACAATATGTTAGGTCATGGTACCTGAAGAGAGTGCGACCACCTGCTTCACCAAAGATGACTGGAGTGTGGGGTGGCACCTGGAAATAACCATTGCCCTTCTGGATCCTGTTTTCTTGTTCTCCATTAACTAAAATGAAAAAAAAAAAAAAAAAAAAAAAATCGCCAATTTTCTCAAATAAAATTAACTTGAAATTGGTATACGTAGAAACATCCTTTAAAAAAAAACACACCACACTTTGAGAGAAATTCAACAGCCGAAACAAACTCCACCTCAGTTGCTCAGAAATAGTTAATCTCTGAACAGAGTCATAGCACCAAAACAGGTCAACTGGCCCAAATAGCTATGGCTGTGTTAATGCTCCACATGAAGCTCCTCCCAATATGCCCATCTACTCCTTTCTTCCTCCTGTGCTTATCCAGTTTAGTTTAAATGCACCTGTCTCACTGGCCTCAAATGCCTCAGGTGGTAGAAAAGTGCAAGCTTTGTTGGTAAGATCCTCTTCAATTCCTTATTGGGTGTACAAAAGGCTCTTTACCAATAAATGATGCCCACCTTCGCACTTCCCCACTGACATTATACTTCAATCATATCAGCCTTCCAACTCAGTTACAGTACCTACAGCCCAGAATTTCCAATCATCCAAGTTAGCAGGCTCAGGGGAGTTACAAATTTAAAAAAAAAGCAATATATTGATAATTAATTTGGCCATTAAAAGTAGCAGAGATAAATAATAAAATATTTTACCAGAGCTAGAGATGGATTGACTGATGGACAAGGCCCCAAGACCTGGTCACCAGGGAATGGCAGAGGACTGGGACAGAAATAAGGAGTTGGGTTTAACACAGCATTTGCTTCTGGTGACTCACATTTTGACAGTGGCTCAGCAAAATTCATTCAAGATTAGGGAACAGAGGCAATGCATATTCCACCCCCTCTGGACCCTGATCAGCCATTTTGACAGCAGTTCTTTAGGGAGCTGGTGCCAGTGTGGGACCGAGAATACCTCACCTTATCTGTCTGGGAGCGTAGCACATCTTTCCCAACCACCGGCATGCAGCCTCTCCCTATGGATTCATCACCACCCCAGCATTCAGAGTCCAGGCTGAACGAAGATGCTCACTTTTGCACTGTTTACTGCCATGGACCATAGCAAGGTGCCATTGAGCTCATTCCAATCCCACTTTCTAGTGCCTCGCCCATAGTCCTGCAGATTACAGAGCTTCAATTTCAGTCCCAGGATTACAGACACCCAACCCTTTGGGTGAAAAAGGTTTCCTACAAATCCTTTCTAATCCTTTTGTCAACCACCTTAAATGCAAGCCCCCTAGGGAAACATGCCTTCTCTACCCACTCTATCCAAGCCCCTCTCTCCTATATAAGCTGCTTATTGATTCACCAGTGTAAATACTGAGAAACATTTTGACAGCAGCTAAGTCAAAATAAAGGATGAGCCTAGACATCAACTTCCCTTCAAAAGTGAAAATGGAGCAGAACAATTAACTTGGGCAAGAAAGGGGCTCTGATTGCAGGAGCAGCGTCCTGTAGATCAGTCACATTCACTGAGCTTTATTTGCAGTGTGTCTGCAGGCCAGATGAAGAGGCATGTCGACTAGATACCAGTGTACGCCGGAGGTAGTATCTATCAATTGTTCTGGGAATGCAGCTGATGAGAAATTAAAAATTGTCTTTTTCTTTTGAAGGTTTAAACTCTTTAAAAGAAAAATATAACAGGATAACAATGCAACATATTACAAACAGGATTTTCATTACTATTTGACTTCCTTCTACCGTACAGTGAAAACTGATATTCCTTCCTTGCCTTTAATATTGCTGCTCAAGCCACATATGTTTTATCAACTTTGAAAAATTAGTGTCAGAGTCATTAATTTCACTGACATCAACTACTAATGTAATGAGCAAGGACAATTAAGTTTCAACATATAGCATTACGAGAAAGAGCCAATTCATTTCCAATCAGTGCCACATGCACAGTCAATAACTGCACTGGAGCAATTTTGTAGAACTCAAAACAATAAACTTTAAACTTAATATAATGGTTTGCTCCTTTGTTGGATCTCTGGGCAAAATTGGTGTAGGCAACTTGTAATCATGTCAACAAAATAATCACTGACAGAAACCACTCAATGTGGGTCAAACACAAAATTCTATTTCATATATTGAAAGGTGGGTGGGTGGTAGCTTGGATCTAGCAGTACTAGCTATTGGGTTAAAAACAAAATAAAAATACCCATTTCCCTTTACCCAGTTAGTTTTTGTGCTGCCACTTCTACTTTTGAAGAGAGGATCATGTATTAGTTTGTTCTTTATATTTACTCCTTAACCGTTGTCAATGTTTGGCTCCAGCTCAAACTGTTTAATTATGTCTGTCTCCCTCCCTACCTTCTCCACTTTCTCCCTTCCTGCTCATCACTAATCTGCTCTTCCTCCTTGATGTAATGTATGTTAAATTGCCTTCTTACTTGTGAGGTGCACTATGTGCAATGAATAATCCTTTATCTCTGTATGCTTCATTATAGCATCATTTATTCCAACTATATAAATGCAAGTTTTTTTCTGCTCAGCCTGCATTAATCTGCTTTCAAGTACAATTTTTTTTGTTTAACTACAAGCTTCCACTTTATGTATCTGCCACTGTCAGAAGAGTTAGATTAAAGTCTCTCAGAGAGATTGGTTATGAAAGAATTACAAATGGAGGCAGTTAGACTGAAATTCCAGCACAGGCAACACTGACGGAACACAGTATAGCACATTTCCTTTCTTAATGTGTACTTTTACTTAAGACAGTGACAACTGTTTAAATTTAAACTGGGTATACTGATCATATAATGGGAACAATCGAAATTGCTGGTCAAGCAACACAAAGAGCAGGAGGCTATTGTTTGCTTGATGTATTGAGTTATCAGCATCATAGTACTAGATGCTAATTTGTCAATGGCATCAGTAAATGTAGATGTTTGCTCACTCTCTTAGCTGCAAATGACATACACCATATGGAGTCCAGGCAGAAACAAGGAGAAAAATAACATGCAAATTTTATTTTCACCGGCACTCAAGACCAACCCTGATATAAAATACTGACCCATATTCATTTCATTTTCTTCTTCATCCATTGGAATGATGTGTGTTCTTGGCCAATATTCCAACAGAGCCTGCAGCAACAGTCCTCCAAGGTTAACTGTAGCATGGGAGCAATTGATTTAATCAAAATGAAATGGCTAATAAAACAATCTTATTCTTCATTTTCAAAACAGTTAGGTAAGTTACATATGTAAAATCAAATCAGAATTTAAAAACGTACTGGACCTAAATACAAACTGATTTCCAGGAGAGATAATTTAACAATATCTCAAATACATATACTTTTCCCATGCTAAATAATGGAGAAGACTCAGATCTGCGTCATAATTCTATTTATTCAACTCCAGTCAGTGCCCATTAAAAGAAGCCCAACTCCACTCATTAGAAGAGCAGACAAAGAATCGACGCCCTGTCTTGTCTTGAGAATTTGACCTGAACTCGCAAAGAGGGCATGCAGTCTTTTGGGAGAGTAAGTTCTAGTCTTCCACTGCCATTTGCGTGAGAAGGGCTTTCTAATTTTTCTTCTAAATGGCTGGGTTCTAGTTTTATTTTCTAATTCATAGTTTTCTTGTTCTGGATTACCACAAATTTCTTTGGATTTACCACTTCAAATCTCTCATTTTAGGCATAACCGTCTAAACAAAGAATTCCAACTATGTTTCTGCAAGTATTGGTCAGACGTTAACTGTTTAAGACATGGGATAATTCTGGGGAATTTCTGCACTTCTTCCAAAACCAATATATTCACTTCCTTGAAGTCCTTGATGTTTCAATGTGAACATGGTTACTTTACTGGACCAAGGCTCTGTACAATTGAAATATCATGTGCGCTCTTTTGTATTCTAACCCCCTTGCAAGAAAGGTTAAAACCTGTTATTCCTTTTGATTGTTTATTGTTCATATTCATTAACTTTTAGTTATTTGCAACCATGGAGTCTCTACTCTATTTGTTCCCTCGTAGGTCCCAGCCTTACACGATTAAGATGATATCTGATTGATATTTCTTGGATCAAAAGTAGCTGACAACACAATTTTGACACACACTAATCTGCTCCTTCATTCAAGCCATTAATACACATGAAGAAAAGCTGGTTCACTTGCATCCCAATTCCCAGAGATTGAACTGATTGGGTGCCAAATGCATGCACATCTCTAGCAATTGCACATTTTAGCTGACTCTTAGAATTGTCATGCATATGACATTAGGCTTTGCAGGATGTGGAGATCAAATCCTGACCGAGAGCAGGCAATAAATCTCTCTGCTTTCCCAGCAGGACGCTGTCTGCCCTATCATTGGATTACATTCTCTTATTATTTAAAACTTACCCAAAATTTAGAAGTTAAGGTGAAAGGCATCATCCAAAGAGTTTCATAAAGACACTTTGGAAAAAATGTCCGATATCCACAAGTGTGGCAGTACAGAGTACATAGAATTTACATTTTAGGAACAATCTAAAAAAACAGAAATTGCTGGAAAAGCTCAGCAGGTCTGGCAGCATTTTTGGGGAGAAATCAGAGTTAATGTTTTGGGTCCGGTGACCCTTTCTCAGAACTTTGGGTCACTTCACCCAAAATGTTAACTCTAAATTCCCTTCACAGATGCTTCCAGACCTGCTGAGCTTTCGCAGCAATTTCGTTTTTTGCTTCTGATTCACAGCATGCGCAGTTCTTTCAGTTTTTATATAGGAACAGACTATTTGGCCAAACTGATCACTATTGCAAACAAAGCTCCACCGAAAGAAAAGTAGTTATAACTACGAGAAATTAAAAAGATGCCAACAGTTTTTAAGATTTTTTTTTCATTACGCAATGCTACTTGGAGGGTCATTATTTATTGCCTATCCCCAACTGCCCATGGTGAACTGTTTACAACAGAATGGCAGATTTCCTTTCCTTAAGGACATTCGGAAACCAGATGGGATTTTGCAACACATCCGGTAGTTTCATCATCAGTATTTATGACACTACCATATTATTCCAGATTTTATTAATTCACAATTAAATTGTCCAGCTCTAAGAGTGGGAGTTGAACATCAGAACAGACCACTTATTAATTCAGGAATATTTTCACCTCCATGCTATTGGCATTTTCTAATGGGATGGTTTGATTATTGAACAGTTTGTAAGGGCTGTAAATGGTCAGGCTTACATCATCTTCAGTAACATCACATGCAAGTGAAATAACAACATTTCAATATCTTTGCACTAAATCGCTGAAGTTTCAGTACTTGAGTGGCCTTCTTGGCAGAGTTCCATATAACAGTCCTTCTCGTCAAGGACCATAATTTCCCCTCATCCATGATTCATAATGCCCCCAACTTCATCTCCTCCATTTCCTGCACTTCTGCCCTCAAACCACCTTTGCCCCAAAAACAAGGATAGAATCCCCCGGTCCTCACATAGCACTCCACCAATCTCCAAATCCAACGCATCATCACTGCCATTTTCACCACCTACAATCAGACCCCACCACCAAAAGATATTTCCTTCTGCACCCCATTTGCTTTCCGTAGGGACCACTCACTCTGACTTCCCTCATCAGCTCTTCACTCCCAACCAGCTTCCCCAGCACAGCCAGCACATTTCCCTGCAATCGCAGGAAGTGCTACACTGCCCCTACACCTCTCCTCACACCTCTGTCCAAGGCCCCAGACAATCATTCCAAATCTGATAGGGATTCACCTGTATATCTTATAACCTGGTCTATTGCATCTGTTGCTCAAGATGTGGTCGTCTTTATATCGCAGAGACTAAGCGCAGACTCAGTGACCAATTCGCAGAGCATCTGCAGTCTGTACACACCAATCAACATCCACCTTCCAGTTGCCAGCCAATTCAACTCCCTGTCCCACTCCTTTGGTGACATATCCATCATGGGCCTCCTCCACTGTCAAAATGAGGCTATACATTAACTGGAGGAACAACACTTTTTATATTCTGCCTCGGTAGCCTACAGCCCAATGGCCTCAACGTAGAGTTCACCAGTTTCAAAATCTCCCCATCCCAGCCTCATCCCATGTCCAGCCTTCCCTCTCATCCCCGCCTCCTTAACCTGACACAACCTGCCCATCTTCTTTCTCAACTATCTGCTCCACCCTTTCCATTAACCAATCTCTTCAACTCTGTACCTACATCCAGTTATCCACATCCCACCTACCTTCCCCCAGCCCCAAACTCCTCCATCTATTTCTGAGCTTGCTTCCCTCTCCCCAGTCCTGATGAAGGTCCTGACCCGAAATGTCGACTTTCCTGCTCCTCAGATGCTGTCTGACCTGCTGTGCTCCTCTAAATCCACATTTTATCTTCTGACTCCAGCATCTGCAGTCCTTTCTATCTCATATAACAGTGAATTACTTTAATCCTATTTTCATGCTCCTCTCATATCCTTCAATACAATTCCCTTGTTAATAACTTGCCTCGACAGTTACTTGCAGTAATGTGATCTGCATCCTAAGCCTTTGTGTGAAAAAAAACTCTTGTTTCAATGTCTGCTCTGAATGGCAGAACATCTTTTTTAAAAATCAGGGTTTTGAAATTTAAAATTGCATATCAAATTTCTCACGTCGTAGCTGCTATTTCATCTGTTTGTGGAGGGCTAGAAAGGATTGGTAAGTACAGCAGTACACAATAGGAAAGTGATTGCCATTAAAAAAAACATGGCATGGGCATGGGAGCTATTTAAATTATTCTTGGGATGTGGATGTTGTTGGCTGAGCCAGCATTTATTGCCCATCCTTTGGTGGCAAGGAGCTGCAGTATATTTGTCTAGGTGTTCCCAGAATGCTGTTCAGGAGTTCCAGGATTCAAATCCATCAGCAGTGAAAAGAAAAGGTGGTATCTTTCCAATTCAGGACGTAAAGTGACTTAGAGAGCAATTTGCAGGTGCTGGTGTTCCCATGTATTTGTGGAGCCTCTTCTTCCCGTGAGTTAATAGTCCACCACTATTATAGTCCACCCTTGTCCTTCTAAATGATAGCAGTTGCGGGTTTAGATGGTGCTCAGATGCCTTAGTGAATTTCAGTAATGTATCTTGAAGATGGTAGATACTGCTGCTACTGAGCATTGGTGGAGGAAACGAGTGTTTGCGGACAGAGGGAAGGTCATTGATGAAGCAGCTAAAATTGGTTAGGCCTAGGACACTACCTTGAGGAACTTCTGTAGAAATGTCCTGGAGCTGAGATGATAGACTTCCAACAACCACAAATGTGCCTGATAGGACTTCAACCAGTTGGGTCTTCCCCCTAATTACCAGAGACTCTAGTTTTGCTCGTGCCCAATGAAGCCACAGTCAAATGGGGCCTAATGTCAAGGTCAGGCACACTCACTTCGGCAATTCAGTTATTTTGTCCATGTTCGAATCAAGGCTGTAATGAGATCAGAGGAATCCAAACTCCGCATCAGTGGGTAGGTTGTTGCGAAGCAGGCACTAGTTGATGGAATTGTTTAATGATCTCTTCCATCACTTTGATCATAAACAGTAAATGATTCAGAAGGTAATCGGCCAAGTTGGACTTTTGTGCACATGACAAACCTGGGCAACATTACTCAAGTTCAGGTGGATATAGTGTTGTAGTTGTACTGGAATAGCTTGGTTGGTGATGCAGTAAGTTCTGGAGTACAGGTCTTCAGTATTATTGCTGGAATGTTGTCAGGCCCCATTGCACAATGTACTCTGGGTGGGCACATAATATCCAGTGCCTCTAGCTATTTTCTTGACATTTTGTGGAGTGAACTGAATTGCTAAGGACACGCATGTGTGATGCTAGAGCCCTCTGGAGGAGGCAGACAGGATCATCCACTCAGCATTTCTGACGCAAGATTACTGCAGACACTCTAGCCTCATCTTTCCCACAGCTGTGTTTGCCTCCCCCATAATTGACAGTGCGAATATTTGTGGAGCCTCTTCTTCCCGTGAGTTAATAATCCACCACTATTCATAACTGGATGCGACAGGATTACAATGCTTAGATGTGATCCATTGGTTGTGAAATCGCTTACCGTCTATCACTTGTTACCCAATCTGCTTGGCATACAATTAATTCTGTGGTATGTTTCACGAGGTTGGCATCTTATTTTTAGGTATGCCTGGTGCTGCTC